TTTGAGTCCAAACGATTTGCTGTGGTAAATTATCTTTAACTTTTATTTTTTGTCAGGGAACGCATAGTTATTATTTTCAATTGAGTGCAAATTGGAGAAATTTGCTCAAGAAGAAGCTTGCTGATGCTGATGTATCAGAGGAAGATCAAAATAACCTATTCAAATTTTGAGAGAAGAAGGAAACTGAATATATGCTCCTTTAGAGACCCAAAATGGGTGCTGATGATTTTGAGTTACTGAAAATGATTGGAAAGGGTGCCATTGGGGAGGTAAGGATTTTCACTGAAAATGACTGACTTGACCAAACGATAAGATCTCTATTTTCAATAATTAGTTCCACATTTACTATCTAATCTTTGATTGGCAAAATTTATAAATCATTCACAAAAAGTCAAAATTTCATCTTTGACCACACATTTTAATGCAACCCATTTATAAATAAACCGTTTATAAATTCTTCCAAACGGACTTTGTACTTCAATTTGTTCCAACGCTCTTTTATGACCCTCTAAAAGTTATTATTGTCACTTGGGTGTAATAGCTATGTGTTTTGATGCTAAGCGTAACAGCTAAATATGCTGGTAGTCTTGACATCTTGCCCTTCACCAATGATGAAGAGCTGACTTCTATTTGTCTCCTTAAAACCTCATACACACCATAGGGTAGTATATTAGACCAGGGGTCTTTAATGCGTGCACTTGGGTGCAATAACTATTAAAAGCTGAATACGAAAGGTGTAGATGTTACTAATACAAATAATGATTTTGAAGTTGTTCCAATCGTGTAGTTTATTACTGCTCGAGATCGTGAGCATCTGAAGCAATTTGCCTTTGAGGTCACATATGACTCCTTTTGTTACCTCTCTCAATAGAAAATGTTAGGGTGCGGTTGGTTTAGTTTCCATTTTCCATTTTCGGTTTCAAAACGATTTTTGGTTTTCCCCGAAAACAGCGCGTTTTGGGTGTTTTTCGTGTTTTGGAAATTTATAACTGAAAATGCTCAAAATGATAAAAAGTCGTTTTGTGTTTTCAGTTATAAATTTTAACTCGTTTTCAAAAATGCATTTTTGAAAACGACGGACTAAATGCATTTTCGGCGTTTTAGAAAATGAAAAAGGGAAAATGGCCCGAAAATGCCAAACCAACCGTAGCCTTAATCTCCATGTTTTGCTCATTTTCTACATGGCAAACTTACTCAATAGTATTTGACAAAGTAGGCATCCCTTCAAAGTGTGCTGTAGTATTTGTATGGTAGCATATTTAGCGTGTGGATGAGTAATATTTGTTGCCTTTCTTCTTTGGGACAACTTTTCAGCATTACAACTGGTTCTCGGTTTGGAGTTCACTTGAAAATTCAGCTTTTCTGTCAATTTCAACACTTTATGGTTTTCGGAAGTAGCTAAAATTTTCCTGCTACCTAACGAAGCTAAAAAAACCACCCTGTTATTAGAAATCCCTCCCCTTCCAGTTTTAAAGCTACAAAGAGAATTTTGAGGCACACTCATGAAGTAAACTAAAACCATCTGATATGAATTTCAGTTGAAGTAGAACTTTGAAGTAGGGAAATCAATTTGAAAATGGAGGAATAATTTTGGGTTCTCTTGAAAAGTTGGGTTTTTCATATTGAATGAAAATTCATTCTACCTTTGGTTATGTCAATTTGATTCTTATTGATTTAGGATTTAAACTCTAAGGCCATGTTTGATTGGTGCAATTTTCATTTCCACCAATTTTGTGTGTTTGATAGCAAAAGTTTTCTATGGAATTTGTTTTCCATCTTTTCTCCGCACACTTGAATTTTTCCATGATTTGGTGAAAAATCAATTCTTACCAAAATGGTGAGAATTGGTTTTCCAACTTTTTATTTTTGGCAATGGAAACAAATTTTAGGAATAATTGTGAAAGAGGATAACACTTAAATTGATAATTTTCATGTAAAACAAAACCAAACGAACACCAAAATATAAATGATTTTTGGATTTTTTTTTTGGCACTGAAAACAAATTCTAGGAGCAATTGTAGAAGTTGATATCCTTTAAATTGACAATTTTCATAAGAAACAAAGCTAAACGAATATCAAAAGGCATTTTTATTTTAACATTTTTAGGTGAAAAATTATACCAATCAAACACTATTAATTGACAATTCCCACTAAAACAAATTTTAGTTAGTCCAATTCCTTTCAATTCATTTTCTTTCCACCTAATTTTTATTTTTGTATTCAAATGGACCCTAAATGTTAAATAGGGGAATATTGTCCAAACAAAAATTTCAACACTGTTTTGGCATTATCAAAAGTTTTCATCAACCAATCTACTCAATCACACAAACTTTGATTTTATTTTCAATTTTAAAGAAGATGAGACCCCTCCTAAATTCCTTATCATAGATGATGGATGGCAAGAAACTGTAAATAAATTTCAGAAGAAAGGCCAACCTCTTGTTGAAGGAACTCGATATGTCCTCTCTACAAGATCTTGAAAGCTTTTGTAATCCTTAAAAATCATGATACTAGCAATGTACCGTCATTAATTTTTGCATAGATATGAAACTAGATTAATCGATATCAATGAATATAGCAGGTTTAGGGGCTTCGAAGTAGACGGTTCAACTTTTAATTTCAAAGAGTTTATCCACACAATCAAAGAGAACTACAGTTTGAAGTAAGTTACCAAGAGTGCTAAAAATGATCTTAATCTTCTATTTCATAAAATGTGTAAATGCTAAAAGGTACTAAGTGATGTAGATATGTTTATATGTGGCATGCTTTAACTGGATACTGGGAAGAGTTTTCCCTTCTTTTGAATCATTGAAGAAGTATAGAAAGTATTAGAGACATTGCATTGGACAATTTAGAGAAATATTGAGTTCGAGTAATAAGATTGTCAAAAGGTGTGCGATTGACCTCTACCAACTACCTTACCGATATTGGGAAAATTCAAGCCCTTACATCTCTATTTCTACGCAAGAATCCAAGGTATTTTTAACATATACATTTAAATATTGAATTAAATTACATATTTTTTAATTTAATTTAATTTGTGTTTATTATTAACTGATTTTTAATTAAATTCACGGTAATGGAAAAAATCAATATGTATCCTTTTTTTTTTTCTGCTTATATGCTTGAATCAATGAAGATCCAGAAAAGAAAAGTTCGGAAATTTTGTATGATTTGATTGGTGTTTATGCTGTAAAATTAATAAATTATGGATTCCAATGAGGGAAAACTAACTTCATTATTGATTATAAGCTTTTTATTAATTTTGTGTATGAGATCACTTGTTTACGGTGATCCTTTAAAGCCAATTACAAGACAACATTCAGTTTATTAGTTGAATTTGGGGATGGTGCTCAATTTGTGAATTGCATTTGGGGTTTCTTATTGAATCTAGAGATCATGTTCAACGTGTAATCCTTCAAAAGTTAACATGATAAGTTGGTTTTGTAGACTTCTTTAAACATAAATTCTCAATTCACATGATAATTTTGCTTTAGTTTCTCTAGCAAAATGGGGCTTTAAATTTTCATATACTCAAAATGTGTGTTATGTCAAGACGATTAGTACCAGCATATAGATATATATGTTTCTTTTGCCCTTCAAGATATATTTAAACTCACTAATTTTAATATCAAGAAATTATAAATGGAAGCAAATGTTAAAAGTTACATATCAATCTGTTATTTGTCGTTCAATATTTTATCCACATCATCCTATCATTTCTATGTACACTTATTTTTAATAGTATTCAATTAACGTGCAACACACATCATCCCACTGGTATTTATTCAAAAAGTATGGAATAGTATTTCAAATATTTAAACACATTCATACATATAGTCAAGAAGAATGGATTAGCAGTTTCTACTAAGAAAGTTATTCTCTGTCGGACGTGCATTAGGTTTCTAGGGCATAATATCCATTTAAGAATTATTACCCCGATTCAAAGAAATATAGATTTTACTGATAAATTTCCTAATTAAATCTTGAAAAAATCTAGTTTGCAGCGATTTTAGGTTGTGTCAATTATGTGTTATACTTTGTTATAGACGTAAGGCCGATTTGTACCCCTCTTTTTAAAAAACTACAAAAACATCTTGCACCATGGAGTCATAAGCATACTTTAGCTATACGAAAAGTTAAAAATGCTATCAAAAGCGTTCCATGCCTCTCAATTATAGACCCTCTTACTTCCATTACCGTTGAGATGGATGCATCCAAAATACAAATTTACCTATAATTTTTGAAATGTAATCTTCAAAAATTTAGGTCAATGTAGTTTCCACTTATTATATTTTAAACAAATTCTATTATGGACTGGGCTGAGGGCCTGTTTTGCTGACCTTTGTCCTAAACGCCCTACTCATAGTCCTCAGAAAATTGCCTTAATACAAAGCCCATATTTGATCCTCATTATCTGAAGACTTATTATTTCTTTTTCCTCATATTTATTTTTAACCACATTCTCGTAATAAAATATTTTGCACAAAAATAATTTTTTTGTTACTTTTTAATCATGCATTTTTTAAAAATTTACTATTGGAAAACTTATTTTCAACAAAAAAGAAAAAAAGAGCTCAAACATTAGCTAAATTAAATTTTCAACAAAATTCTCAGAGCTCAGAGTACTTGGCTTACTTATCACAAAATGATAAATGAATCTAAAAAATTCCTCCCAATCGTAAATTGTCACGATTATTGCAAAACATGTAACTAACGAGTCGATTAACACTGTACTAGATGCATAAAGATAATTCATTTTTCATGACAAACGACATAAAATTTTAATGCGAAATTATAAATTGCGACCAAACTTTATGGAAATGAATAAATCTGTTATAAAAAATTAAGATCAAATTCAATGACTAAAATAAAACTTCTCTAAAATTTGAGTGACCTCTAGCGCTTTTCCGGAGACACTCACACAGGCTTAAAATAACAGAGATACACACGCAATTATCTCTCTCCAGATTCGAAGCGTGCCGGTGAAGTCACGACGTCAGCAAACCCAAAACGTCACCCAATTTCAACTTTCCGTTAGAAGTGGGCCCCGAAACTGCCACGTGTCCACTAAATGATCTGCCAACACTCGTTTGAAAACTTTCGTTACGATTTGAAATTGAAACCTGCTATTTCCACGCTCCCCATTGCTAATAGTACTCGTGCAAGATTTCTCTTTATATGAATTGCCTTCAATCTTCTTTTCAATATAACAGACGGTACACACCATATAATATACATTACTTCCTCCATAACGCCATTTCTTGCAGAAATCCTTATGGATTCGTTAAAGTAAAGTAAAAGGAAAATAAAGAATTTAAGGGTTAAATTTATGCGGTTATTTTTGATAACCTGAAAACCCCTCAATTCGAGGGGTTATAATTGTACTCATGTTCTTCAGTTTGATTTTTCTGGCGAAATAATTGTACGTTTTGGTGAAAATAATTTGATTTGGTGTAGAAAACCTGGAATTTGATTCGGTGGCAATGATTTACGACGCTGCTGAAGAGGATTTCGGGGTTGGGGATTACGTGAAATTGGAGGAAGGTTCAGACGGTGGGACCTACAGGAAGGTAGTTGCTGAGGGGTCGACATCGGGTTGTTGTGGCGGAAATGGTGGCGGTGGCGGAGGGTGGTTGTGGTCGTTGTGGTGGTGGGCGAAACTGGTGTTGGTGGTGGCGTTTTTAGTGCTGTTGGGTGCTGTTTTCTTCAAATGGGTCGGACCCTTCTTCATGGATAAGGTGAATTTTCGTCTAAATTACTCGGACATCATTTGTCCAGGAGCTTTCTATGATTGATCACATGAAACTCTAATTTCTAATTGAATATGTGTTATGATGAATATTTTGAGTTGTGAATGTGATTCTGATTAATGAGGATAATTGATTTTTGTACATCTGAATGGTCCAGGAAATTTTTTCTGTTTTATATTTAGGTGTCTTTCTTCTTTTTCTGTTAAGCAATTACATTTAGAACTTCCTTTTATTCAATAATATAGAATGATTATCTTTATGGTTGTATGTGCTAATTTGTGTTTAAGACAAATGACAAGTTTTATCTGCCTGTCGAGGGAAACTTAATCAATGTTTCATGAGCAAAAGAATGTGCATTTCATTAATTAGCCGGAAAGAGTTTGTAGCTATTAGCTTGCTGGCCATTTTCAGTTTAACACTGATTACATCATTGTCATAGGTTATTTCATTTAATTGATGTCAAAATTTCAGTCTACATCTGTGGCTCTACATAATATACTAGGAACTTGTTTGGTAATAAGTGCAGAGCTGGACTAGGTAGTAGCATGGACAAGATTTTAACTTGTTTTTCTTGTTTAGTACTGTCCGATACTGCAAACATGCACTAGTTATCTGCACGGGTTAAAGAGGTTACGAGTACTGTATCTTTTCCCCTTCGCCTAGATATGGTTTGGCCTGGACTAGGCAGTAGCATGGACAAGATTTTAACTTGTTTTTCTTGTTTAGTACTGTCCGATACTGCAAACATGCACTAGTTATCTGTTCTGGTTAAAGAGGCTACGAGTACTGTATCTTTTCCCCTTTGCCTAGATATGGTTTGGCCATTGTCAGCAATTATCACGGTTCTCCTTCATCATATAGTTTTCTGAGTACATCTTGTTCTTTTTCAGGAAATCATCCCCATTATAATTTGGGAGAGGGAAACATTCAGCAAATCAATGCTAGCACTTCTAGTATTTAGCTCCATTGCCCTATTTCCTACCCTGCTTTTACCTTCTACTCCTTCCATGTGGGTGGCCGGGATGACTTTTGGATATGGGTACGGATTTTTGCTGATCATTGGAGCAGTGGCTATTGGTGTCTCCCTTCCCTATCTCATCGGTTTTCTATTCCATCATAAGATCCAAGTACATACCTTTAATTATGTACATTGTTACTCAGAACTAATGTCTTTGCTTTCAATTAACATTATTATATTTTTCCACTCCACAGGTTTTGTTGGAAAAATATTCTAAGCAAGCTTCCATTATAAAACTCGCTGGTGAGGGAAATTGGTTCGATCAGTTGCGAGATGTCACCTTGATTAGGATTTCTCCTTTCCCTTATGTTGTATATAATTACTGTGCTGTGGCTACCGATGTGAATTATTGTCCTTACTTGTTGGGGACACTGGTAGGAATGGTGCCTGAAATATTTGTTGCAATTTACACGTAAGATCTCCTCTCCCTACAAAAAAGAATAAAGGATGTGTCGAGATGCTTTTTTTGTATTTGTTCTCTATAAAAAAGAAAACATGAAAACTTTGTTGAAACACTAACCTGGAATTTATTTCTGCATTTGTACATTAAAAAAATTATCACTTTATTTTGGTATGGAGGTGTACATAATTGCTATCAGGTTTGGATTATTCCCATTTTTCCTGTTTTCTGCACAATATATTAACGATGGTTATCATTGTAGTTCTCTTAATTTATGGGGTTGATAACTTGTCGTATCTTCTTTGGTGCAACTTCTTGCATTCAGTCTTTTCACATAAATAGTCGTGTTTACACATTGCTTCCATCATTTTTAGTGCATGATTGGCGAAGCTAAGCCCTTGTTTGATTCCTATTATTTTCAAAATACATTTTTCTCTTTATTCTTTTCAATCACACATTCTTTAATAAAATAATATTACACACAAACCCAAAATTTTTCCTTATTTTTTAACCGCACATTCTTCTTTAATCTACTATTCCAAAATGCATTCTTCAAAATGTTTAAGTTCTTAAGCTTTGTGTGTCCTACGAAATGTGTATAAGAAGTGTGTTAGTAAGTTTGTGGATCCTACAAAATGTGCGGATAATTTCTATGTTTGACAAGCTTAAATTTAATTTTAAGCTTTGCCAAACATACACTATATGTTCCCCATACTTCTGGGTATCAACTATATGATGATTGCTGGTGCGCTCTCCCTCTCTTTTCCTCCCTCTTTGTGCTCGTTTTGATATGCAATATAAGTATTTTTTTTTCCTTAAGTTTAGAGGCAGAACTGTGTAAAGAAAACTTGGGGTAGAGGGAAAATGCGAAAAGCAAAGGGCGTAGTCCGAAGTGTTGGAAGACCATAAAAATATTTCTTATTGGAATCCAAATGTGGTCTCTAAATTTTTCTGGAATTCTTATCAGAGCAATAGCTCATTGTTCGCTTCAGTTTCTCGTATTTGATAACTTTTATTCTGATACTTGGTTTCTTTTTATGCTGCCATGGCAAATTTATGTCTATAATAATTTGCTTTCCTCTATGATCGAATCTCCAAGTCATGTATTGTTTGTTTTACTGTAGCGGCATCTTGATAGAAACTTTGGCCGATGCTTCTAATGATCGGCGCTCATTATCAGCAGCACAGATTATTTGCAACGTTATTGGCTTTTGCATTTCCTTGGTAACGACAGTGATTGTCACCTTATGTGCAAAAAGGCGACTCAAGAAACTACAAGCTGAAGAGGAGCGATTGTTGCGATGAGTTTTTGTACTTTTACGGCTGGATCAAGTTGGAAAATGGCGAAAAAGAGTCACTACGCAGCATTATATGTCAATAGTTTGTCCTGTCGATGTTCATTGACGTGTTATGGCTGCATAGAGTGGATGGCGAGGGAGACGAGAGAAGAAAGGTAAGATGATTGACATCATAGTAAGCACGTTAATTTCGAAAGAAACATTACAGATTTTTTTTAACCTAATATTCTTTAGCATCTGTATATAATTTTGGTTCAAGAGTTAAAATTGCTGGAGATTTTGAACTGCTGATTGAAATTACAAATACTTCAATAATGAAAAGAAATCAATTATGCTACATTAACATTAAGGTTGACATAAAGTTTTACATAATATCACGTGACATATTATCATTGGATAGTTTAAAACAAAGTCTACTTTTTCATCCAATTATTAATTGCACAAAAGAACTCGAATCAACTTATTGGCCTAAAAAAAAGTGATCTTTCTCGATAAAGTCGGTTGATTAGGGTGATGTCTCTTACGTTACCCATAATATGTGGAAGTATCGACGTAATTTCATAGAGTCATTCGCAAAGGAAGTTTTCTTTCAAGTCAAGAAGCCAGCCTTCTTTCTTTATCTATGCCATGCCTACCTGCCTCATTTCCAGCATTTCCTACAAATCGTAGGTATCGATTGAGAGAAGCCACTTCGAGGGCCTTTCCAAACCTACTGTGATTAGGCCGAAATAGTGAATGGCATTTTACCCGCCAAAATGCAAAAGCAGCCCAACTCGGATCTATTTGGGTCGGTTTTGGGTTAGCTTGGACCCATCCCACAAACCTTGGTTTTGTATTCTTTTCCTCTTTAAAAAATAAAATAAAAGAAAAATATTTTTAAGGACATTTTACCCTTTAAACTGAGCAAATTGACCCGATCAAATCCAACCGACTTTGCTAATGTGGGAAATTTTTTAACTAGTATTGGGTTGGTTTTAGGTTTGGAATTAAACCCAACCAAAAATGTCGATTTGGTGGGTGAGCTGAGTTCGATCTCAGCACAGCTTGACCCGTGCTCACCCCTCTCTTGAGTAATTATTATTATTAGTAAATTATGAAAGTGTCACAAACTCTTATGAAGATACGTCACCCTAACATCGAAAATGCAAAGCGAATCTTGTAAGTTACACAAACTGAGTCGAGCATAAAGCACTTTCATGAAAGGCGTAAGAAATTCAAACCCTTTATCTCAAAATCAATATGTGGGGTAGCATAAGGAACAAGGGCTGGATAAGAAAAGGGCATAAATTTAAAAGGAGCTTTGCAAAAAAGAAAGCAAACAAAAGCAAGCACGAAAGAGTTCGTGTAAGATCTCTTTAGACAAGGTAATTGGTTTTTAGGGAATATTACTGTTGTGCTCCCTAACCTTTATTTGGACAATTATCTAGTAAGTTCTATTTTTTTTTAATACCTTGTTTGATCTCCGTTCTTCTTAAAATACATTTTTCTCTATCTTTTTTTTTACTACACATTCTTTAATAAAATAATATTACAAGAAAATTCAAAAAATTTTCTTATTTTTTAATCACACATTCACCATCAATCTACTATTCTAAAATGCATTATTAACAAATAGTAGAGCTTAAATAGGCCATAATATTATACATGTAATTTAGTAGTTTAGTCCAATGAGGTACAATTTTTAATGAAAATTTACATTTTATTAAAATTACTAAAATATTGAGCCCCATTTTTTGGGAACAATATATTTTCGAATAATGATTTTCTTGAAAATTGCGTGGTTAAAAAATAGGAAAATTTTTTAGGTTTATGTGTAAAATTATTTTATGAGAAGATATATTGTTGAAAATGATCAGAAAAAATGACTTTTGAGATATAATTGAAGATGCTAGTTAGATGGAGGATTTAATTTAAGATGTAATGTTAGTAAGTTGTAAATTGATGCTGTTAGCATATTAATAAGATGGCAGAACTCAATTGAGACATGGGGAACTTAATTGTAATCGTACATAAGTACAGGGTCTAAAGTAAAGATTCTGAAAAGTTTAGGATTCCATTACCAATTATATGAAGATGAGGTACTGCATTGATGATTTTATAAAAAATGGACCTATTTGAAGATATTAGTAAGATCGAGGACTCTATTAAAGATACAAGAAATATTGAGGACTACAATAATATTAAGTAAAAGTTTGAGGACATCATTAAACATGTTAGTAAGTTGAGGGCCACAAGATGTTTTTATTAGTAAACTGACTTATTTAAAGGTAAAAGTACAGATGGAAGACTAATAGAAAGATGAAAGTAAAATACAGAACGAAAACAAAGATTTTGATAGGTTTAGCTTTGATCTCTCCTCTTTTCATCTGCATATTATTTGCACTTGGAGTTCGATTATTCAAACTTTAACTTAATGTGATCGTGCGGCTCCTTTATTTTAACATACATATCATTTTCTTTTACATTAGTCTTTCCACATTCTAGTATCGAAATTAGATCATAAAAGTGGATTGGTTGCTTATCATAAAATATCTCAAACGGGCTCTTTTTAGTAGTTCTATTTTTGGAGTTGTAAAGAATTCTGCTTGTGCAATGACTGATTACCATTACTTTGGATTTTCTCCAACCAAACATTGCAAAGGATTTCTCAAATTCCTATTAACTTCACTCTACTCATCAATTTAAATATGGTAAGAACTAATGTATTGCAATTTGGTTTCTTCCACAAAGCTCTCCAAAAATGTGATAAGAGCTTTGAATCACGATTTGATACTATAGACTTGGGAACTCCATGCCAATGCACAATTTCTTAAAGGTAACAGAGAAGCGACATTTGATGCATCAATAGTTTCCTTGCAGCTAATAAAATGAGTTATCTTTGAAAATTGGTCAACGACCACAAAGATGGAATCCATTCCTCGTTGGCTTTTAGGTAATCCTACGACGAAATCCATACATCTTTCCAAAGTGCTACTATTATGGGCAATGGTGTATACAAACCCGTTTCTGCACTCTTCTTTTGGATTGTTGGCATACTTGACGCTTGTCAATGAATTTATGTACATTGCAACCCATCTTTAGCCAAAGGAATTTTGTTCAATTATTGTGCTAGTTTTATCTTGCCCTAAATGTCCTTCCAAGCCTCCGTCGTGCATATCTTGAATGATTTTCTCATTTAAAGAATAATCTGTACACAAAGTTGATTGTATTTAGATAGAAAATTACCATATAGCAAATAGTTCTCTTGCGTTCCATTTTTGTAACATTTTCAAATTGGACCAAAGAAAGGATCACAAGGATACATATCATTTAAAGTATCAAATCCTTCTATAGTATTAGTCATTTATGTCAATCACATGGTTCAAAAATATCAATACAAAGGCAATGATTGTAGATCCCTTGTCAAAGGAACTTGCTCCAAAACTTTTTAAGACACATATTGCTAATATAAGTATTATGGAAACTTTCGATATTTTTGGTTAATGAGAGTTTATTTATGTAAAAGAACTATATTTTGGCTTGATCCCTTCATGGGAAACATATGCAATCCATATGTTTTTTGGGTACTGTCCCTTTTAATAATAAAATATATTTTCCCTATCCATAAATTAGTTTGAGCATACATTTGGTTTATGTCTTTTATTATGATATTATTATGATATCGAAATATAAGAGATAAAGACATAAGATGAGTCTCTTTTAAAAATATGTGGCTTTATTTGATTTGAAGCATTATGAGGAATGATATGAATTAGCACAATTTTTATCACATTTGGTGCAAATTCATACTACGTACTACCACATTGGTTGAAGGATAGAGATTCATGTCGATAAAGATGTTAGCATTTGTAGCTGTGGAGTGGTCTTACATTGTTTAAATGGTGCAATGACTTCCATGTTCGATATTAGCATTCTTTTTTCCGGATTATGTTTTCTAAGGTGTTATCATTGGAGCTGTATATGTGTGGCCACCTATATAGTCTAACCCCAAAAGTTAAAAGTTTTATTTTATTATTTGATAGCAATCAAATATTCGCCGAAGTGGAAGAATATTAGAAAAATATGGGTTTTTCATTTGATTGCAAATTTTATGTTTTATAAAACGAGTTAGATATATAGCTCATAATGATACTATAGCTAATTTTAATATGTCGAGTGATCATTTGGGCAGATTTACACCTTAGTCATATAGGGTTATATTCTATATAATGTAGTAATTTAAGTATGTGGCCCATAAATATTTAAACCCTAATTAGGGTTGGAGTTGTTAGTGGGACAGCTCAACAATTTTCTATATAAGAGGCTAGGCATCCTCTCCATATGTTTTTATTGGCTTGTCCCATTGACCATATCTTTTTGAAGAGCAAAGAGAGGAAGATTTAGCGCTAATATTTGCATTCAAAATGTCTTTCGCAAATATATCTCTTAAACTATTAATTTAGAATTATGATTCTTATTTCTTAACATGATTATTATTAAATACAACAGAAAATTCATAAAAGATAAAAATATAGAATAATGTTATATAGCATCATTTATGTTAAACGCTGATCTAAGTGACGCTAAGTGATATTAAATGAGTCATATTTTCTACATTCAATTGAACCTTTCAGTTAATAACATATATATGTCGTTGTAGCATTATTGATGTTAGATAGCATTATTCAAAAATATTAATCATATTTAGCCTTCGTGTGGGAAGGGGTTATAATTCAAATTTTAATTGAGTTAAAGTCAACGGTTAACTTTAATCATATATTTAATGGAATTCACAAAATTTCAATTAAATATTTTATCAGTTTTATCAAAATTTATTAAAAATTTGTTTTTAATTGTCTAATTTATTTGTAATCATGCTAAAAATCGAGAATCACAAAATAATAAATTAATAAATCGAATTCATACTCACAGAAACCACGTTGATATGAATAATAACAACTAGATCTTCTCCTCCTTGCTCCTCACAAAATATTAGCCGTCAATGGGAGCAAGCTAATGAAAAAATATTGAGAGGAGATGAGACCTAGCCTTTATATAGGAAAATTATTGAGCCGTCTCATCACGACTTAAATTCTAATTAGGGTTTATATATATATTTTCGGCCCACATACTTAAAATTATCACATTATATTAAATATAATTCGTAAGGTGTAAAAGGTCTAATTAATCATTTAATAAATTTGGTCTAATCACAAATATCACTACGAGTCATACATCTAACCCGTAAAATAAATAA